TTATGGTGCCGGTAATGTTCAAAGTATTAGAAATGCAATCCGATATCTGGGTCTCGATATCAAAGATGTAAGTTCTTCTGATCTTCTTTCTGCAATGGTGAATATGAACAATTAACAACGCCATAATATATCTTGTCCAGGTTGAAACACCGGAAGACATTGTGAATGCAAAGCGCCTTATTGTTCCTGGGGTTGGAGCATTTTCTGCAATGATGGACGTCTTAAACAACAACGGGTAAGTTTTACACATCATGTTTATAATGTTTTTTCATCCATTAAAAAACAAAATTGAGATTTATTTGAGAGATTCAGCAGCTAGAGGTGAGTTTCTTCACTGTGTTTAGCGGGTCGAAGGCACCAATGTCGGCCCATGGTGAGTTTCCCATGGAGATTCTCCGGACCAGCAGACCGAGATTTATTTGAGAGATTCAGTAGCTAGATGTGAGTTTCCTCACTGTGTTTAGCGGTTCGAAGGCACCAATGTCGGCCCATGGTTTATTATGATTAGGATGCTAGTTGTCTGCGTGACTCTTGCATGTAAGATATTGATATGTATATATCGGGTGGGGCCCAATGACTATCATGTATGTTATTTATCTTTGTGATTATTGCATGTGTTTATATGATTATATGTTTATATGTTTATATGTATATCGGGCGGGGCCCGATGCCAGGCAGGGTCTGATGACTGCCAGATTTGTTCTGAGCGGGGCTCGATGTCGGGCGGGGCCCATTATATGTTTGATATGTATGGTATGTGGTATTTGGGGAACTCACTAAGCTTTGTACTTACGGTTTTTAGTTTATGTTTCAGGTACTTTTGGTTCTAAGGGGAAGAGCTCGGAATGACTGCATTACCGTGTTTTCTATGACTCTGATGTACTTGGATATTAGTTGACACTCTCTGATTTTCACTATGGTTTTATGATATTGATTGGGTTGATGGTTTATTTAATATAAAAATCGAAATTTTTGGTCTAAATTTTTGGGACGTTACAGGTTCGACCAGGTCAAATGCAGATCCCTACTTTATAGTCACCGGCCTTTGATAATTTTTTTTTCTATTACCGGAATAGTCAGTTGAGTTGATGGCTTTTGATTTTTTTTCATTGATGTTTACATAAAAGCCATTATATTTTGGCCATTTTTCCGGTTTAACCACCATAAATTAGTTTATTCCACTAAATTCATCAAACTTTGATTTTTTTTATTGCAACATTTTGACCTATATATGGTATCGCATAATATTTTTTCCGATATTACATGTTTTATGTTGGATGGCATTCCATTTGCATTGTTGTGTATACCGAATCATTTTCGTGATATCTATTGACAGGGTTAGACTCCCCTTCCGCTCTTGGTCGATCTAGTGTAAAGAAACATATGATCGACATGCCTTCTTCTGCTTTTGGATCCAATTTTTTAGTTTATAACTTCGGATTGGATCAAATATGGGTGTGTGAATTGCAGTTCTATGTAGGATCGCATAAATAAAGGAACAAACTTAATATGTAAAATTTTTAATAGTTATGTAGTAGTTCTAAAAAAACCGGGGCCGGGGGGGGGGGGGGGGGGGGGGGGTAGCAAAAAAAGTCATCAACTTAATCGGATATACTGGAAAGAGGATTAAGACATGGTGATCCATTGTCCACGTTTTTGTTCATCCTTGACTCCTTGCTATGGAAGGTCTCCACATTGTTGTTGAGGATATGATCGCAGTTGGTCTTTATCGTGGTCTAAAGGTTGGTAATACTAATCACATGGTCTCTCGCCTTTTTTAGACATATGATAGTATTGTTGTTAGGTGAGTGGCAGATTCATAATATAGGCAATATGGTCATGATTTTAGGGTGTTTTTACCTGGCTTCGGGATTAAAATTGAACTTGCAAAAATCTAATATGTATGGAGTTGGTTGGATCATAGAGTGGTTGAGTAGTGTGCATTACTCACTGGGTGCAATGTTGATAAGTTGGGATCCATGTAGGTCTGAGAGTGGATACAGTTTCTGGGTGGAAGCCGATTACACAGAGATTTCAAGATAGGTTGTCTAGATGGAAAGCGAAATTGTTATCAATTGGAGTCGTTGTATGTTGAGTTCAGTTTTTGGAAATCTGGGAATTGTGTATCAATAATCTATACACATTTTATTCATTAGCTAAAATTATGTTTTATCAGACTATAAACTTCAAATATTTGGGATTCTATATAAATTATAAAATTTTGGAGGAACTATGTCTCCTAATTCCTACCTATACACATGCCAAAGGACCCATTTTAATTTTGTAGCCCTAAAAGTCAAACTAGCCTACCCTACAGTTTTATTGTTCAACATTAGTGTGTACGTATAGGTGTACCCGAACGTGGACCATGCATAAAATAAAATGCTTAAAACGACAGCATATCATACAAAAGTGAAACATGAAACCTGATATAAAACATTTGGATGGATACAAACCAAAAAGCCAATGAGGACAAAAGAAAAATGTGGCCACAAAACAAGAAAAAGTAAGTAGTGAAAGGAACCCCACCCAAATGGGTGAATGCTATTGAGGAAGCCAAGAAAGCAAGACCTAATTTTCTTTTTGTCTCCACTAATCTACAAAGAGTATTCAATTACTAATTATGTTTTTCTTTTTCTTTCTTTCTTGATAATTTTATTTTAAACGTATAATGAACTAACTACTCTTATGTGAATGTTGTCGTTTGCTCATCAAAACTAAAAAGTACGAAAGACCATCGATAAATCCCCAGCTGGAACATACATACAACAAAATCAAGATTGATAACATTAAATTGGGTCTGGATTTTTTTTCTTTCTAATGAAACGATATGGTTTATATCAGACCCGGCTCTAACACTTCAGAAGGCTTGTGTAAAAATCAAAGTGAGGCATCATAAAAATTTATTGTAAAATATTATTAAGTAAATTTGTTACTGTTAAATGCAAAATTGAAAGTTGAAACAAACATCTTGTAAATTCATTACCACAACATTATGTATTCACTCATTAGTAATAAATTGGAACTATTACAAACAATTTTATATATATATATATATATATATATATATATATATATATATATATATATATAAAGACAATGCATTACTATTTTCGAAACATCGACCATTGTCTAATAATTTTAGAAGCAAATTCATCTACTACACTTTTGATTATCAATATTCTCAATAAACTTGTTTTCAATCAAAATCAAAGTCAAAGAGTTTAATCTATCTTGAGACATGGTCGATTACAAATAAGATTTTAAAAGCTTTAGTTTTGAAATGTTTCTTTCCACTGATGTAATTGTAATAGGAATAGTCAATAAAAATATAAAATTTTATAAGTTTTATCATTTTTAAGAAATTTAGTAGTTTGTTAGCTGTATTATTTTCAATTGGAAAATGTTTTTGTAACAATTTCATTCATTGAATAAACCATCAACATTGATGTCTGAGATATGACCATTTTGCAACCTATTTTTAAGATTTTTTGCAACTTGCCTTGAACTCATTGATATTTGATGACTTCAACTTTTTTATTGTAAATAAAAAGCCAAAAATATATTTATATCGTTTGTATTGTTCAAACATTCACTCTAATAAACCAATAGATTGATCAAACTATATACAAAATATATTGATCATAAATAACTTTGGAGGAAAAAGTTCATTTACCCGTTTTGATGACCCAACGTCTTCAAAATGTATTTTTTTTTTAATTCTTCTTTTAATATTTTTCTTAACAAACAATGGATAAATTCCCAAATAAAAGCAATAACTTTCACACAATCCAAATCCTTCTCAAAAACAATATACTTAAGTTGAATTTTACAAGAATAGCAACACCATAATTATATATTCATCCCATAATTTGGAGGCCCATACAACCGCACCTCTCACACATCCCTAGGGCCACCAAACATATAAGGAATTAAGTTTGAGTTGTTCCTCTGAAACTAAACGAAATTACAAGCCTTTTTAGATGAATGAGAATCACCTTTCATATCATCTTATATAGATCACCTCATCCAAATCTAATTTTACTAAAGACTTTGATAAAAAAAAAATTATCTAAAATAAACATTGTTATCTTTTGTCCAACTTTTCAATTTGGTAAGCTTTTCAGTTATTTTTACTAAGCATGATAAAGTTGGACATAGCCTTTGATGATTTACTATGAATGCATAATCTAAAAGCATCCACAAGATCACAACAATGAAGATTTTTCCTTTTGGTTTTCAGTTTCATTTTTTTTTTTTTTTCATCTAAACAATCCAAAAAAAACTCATGGTATTAGCAACCGCATATACTTAACTTATTTTATTTATTTTTATTTTTATTTATTTTTATTTTTATTTGTTTTTATTTCTTTATAAAACTATTAAATGTTCTATATCTAAATGTTATGAAATTTCAAGCTTTTAATATATTTTTATACATGTTTAATGAAAATAAAAATATACGCAACAAAATAAAAGTGAAAAATATATTTTAATAAAAAAATATAAATAAAAAAAGGTAAATAATATGGAGAGCTTTTTTTTTAAAATGATATTTCTAACTTGTACAAGTCAATGTGTATTAAATATAAAAAGGCTTATATTGAAAAAAAAAAAAAAACAAATACATAAATCGATAAATAAATAAATAAGAACGTCGTAAAAAGAGTGATCTGTAACTCGTTCCAAAAAAGTACTACTTTTTTTTATCAGAAACATCAGTGTTTTGACATCTTTCACACTCGGCTACAGCTAATAACGACATAAGTATTTCATGCGTTTATTTATAATTTTATATACCATTTTCTAGTTCAATTCCATTCTCTATTCGTGGCTTTCGTTTCTCAAGTCAAAAAGAAACCAGAATTTGTTAATCTCCACGCACTAGAAAAAAAAAATCTAAAAAAAAAACATAAAACCAATAAGACCAAATTAATCTCAACATATCATTAATATGCAACATAATAATACCATCTCTAGGACAGTAAATGAACGGAACAAACATGAACAAGCACCTCTTTATAAAATAAAATAAAATAAGTAAAAACAAATACAAAACAACCTTTTGCAAGGTTTATGTTCTCCATTTGATTTACACACATCCTCGCATCTTTTCTAAAATGCAACAAAATTGATATCAATGTTCACTACCAGACTTCATGCAAGAGGATGTATAAAACCTAATGACGTTCATTAAATATTAAATGATTAGGATAACTAATTCATTTATATACCTTTTCTATAATCAATTTGAACCTTGGATTAACAGGTAATTCACCTTCTTAATGATATTCGGTTGCTCTTTGGATAGTTCTGCACAGTATAACAAACCAAATAATATGATATAAGCTTGATTTATTATTTTATTTATATTCATATGACAAAAGCATGAGTATGTACCTTAATTAGTTTGACTATAGTAAGGACCTCATTTAAATTTCAAAATGCAATATCTGAGGGAAAAACAAAAGGTACATATACCACATGTAATTTTCATTTTTCAAGCTGCTATCCTTATTGCACCAAATCTGTCCATCTTATGCTACAAAAATAACAAGATTGTAAGTTGATAATCGAATGAGGTAAAAAAAAAAAAAAAAAAAAAAAAAAAAAAAAAACGCAAATTTGAAGTGAAAAAAGTTGATCAAATTCACCTTACTGTTCTTGTGCCTGTGAATGCCATTGAGGTCCTCATCTCCATCATGCCTTCTTTTCTGAAACCATTAAAAAATGATAGTATTTTTACTAAAAGTCTTGATATTTCTGAAAAAGAATTAGAGGATAATAACAGCATCTATTTTAACCTTCTCATTGGGTTTCTTCAAGTTTTCAGCACCAAAATCATGACATTTACTTGGATGTTTGTGTTTTTTATGCTCTTTATTCTTGTCCTTGTGTTTTTTATGCTTCTTTTCTTTGTCCTTAGATTCACTTTTAGATATTCCAACTTGGGTAGGAATCCCCTTTTCCGACTATAAAACAAAAAAAGATATAACCCCAAAAAGGATATTATTGAAAATGAGAAGTTACATATACATTAATGATTAATCTAAAAAAGGAAAAACAATAAATAACACTATAATCATATTGCTTACAGGTGGCAGGTCAATGGGAAAAGTTTCCCTCAAGTAAAAGGCATCCCTGAGGGCGTTTAGGTCAAATGGTTGTATGCGTGTATTTGTGACTCTTGACTTTGAGAAGGATGTATTTTCCTTTTCAATGAGCTGATTCAATTCCATTCCTTCACCTTTCCGGATCACTGTGTCTCCAACAACATTACGAAGGTGATGTGCATCTGAAATGGATAAAGGAAGCGACTTCTTGCAGAAGAGCTCATAATGAGGGAATAATTTGTAGTAATTTATAAGATCCACACCACCCGTAAGTTCCTTCGGACCTAGATTGTGAAGAGAATAAAACAGATGGTTATTTTTGGAATAAAAGATTAGAAAAAACAAGTCTTTTCGAACTAGCTATAACATAGGCTAAAAGTGAAACCACTCAGAATCTTTTTGTAAAGAAAAAAGGAAGTGCAAGATGAAGAATAAGATCAGAAGAAATCTTAGCAAGATTCCGACTTTATGTATTAATGGAATGTAATAAATCTAAGAAACACCAATGAATGACAAAGCTTGTGTGATTTTTAGGTCATATAATAGTAGTACTTACTGTTTCTGTAATATAAGCAGGCAGTGACAGAAATAAGTTATGCAATCATGGGGCTTTAGGTATGAATATGTTAGATTGATAATTGAGCACAAATCTTATAAGATAAATCCCACAAAAAGAGTACATGTTTATTGCACAAAGTGCAAAAAATTTAATTTACCTCTTCCAAACCTCTTGCTTTCAGGATCCATCAGTCAGTATCTCATACAAGCATATACCATTATCACCTGAGATTTTATCGTAAGAATCATAAATTGTTCAAAGACACTTCTACATCTTCTCTTAAATATGCACACAATCATTGTTTTACGCATCAACGAATACCTAGGAAGTGCATGAACATTTGAGCATATTGGGGGCTTGGATTTTGGCATTTTAAGAAATATAGCAACTTGAGTTCAGTTTGTACGCATATATGTGTGTGTGTCTATATACATAGAACACATGATTTGTTAAACCAAAACCGAAAGAAAATAAGTAAACAAACAAAAGGAATAATGGGCATATAAAGTCCACTACTCGGTTAAGGCAATAAAAATAATCATAACAAAAAATAAGTCAAAACCCTTATCAAATCGATTCAGTTTCCTGAAACATCATTGTTTCGCTACCTACAATACATCAATAAAAAAAATTCCTTTTAATTTGGGTTATCAATCAGATGAGTATGGGTTGCAAAATTTAAAACTTAACTGATACTTGCTACAAGACTTATCAAACAAAAAATAACAACCAACATAAATACATGATGATAACTTGCTCTAAGCTATATACTGAATCCTAATTAAAACCCTATTATCTTGTGCATGTGAATCAACCTCCAAAGAATCAAATTCTTGAAAATCAAAACTATCATTCGATTCAACTGTCATTCAAACCAGATAACGATAAAAACAAGTACTTTTCGAATGCCAACCAGATCTTCATTCGTATTCTACCCTAAATACCACACTAAACAGCACTACACTTGCTATATATTAAGCTCTATTGTCTTAGCTTAGCACAAGATCCAGCCTCAACTCTTCTGAACACTTTTTATAATCGAAAAGTCAATTACTCAATCTATAGCCCCAATAACTACATATGTTCTTAAATTTTTTTTTGCATCGCCTTACAATGCGAAGAGCTTACTATACCTGTTACAATAGATACTATCGGAACTCAAAGTCGACTAATTTCTCAGTCAATTTAACAAAATCGAGTGGCTAATTACTATAATTGACGAAATCAAGCGGTGATTCTTCGGGTGTGTCGTCGGTTTCCTCTTCAACCCAAAAAAACCCTAACACCGTTAAGGGGGCTAGAAGAGTTGAAATTGGATTCTCGTATGAATTTATATAGTTGGACATAATTGCCCTCGATCCAACACTAGTTCCAAGGGTAGTTCCAGTCATTTTTATAAGTATAGGCTACGAATGAAAGTGGGTCCAAACCCGACACATATGGACTCAGACCCGAAAAACAGAGAACCGGTTAACGGGATTTTGTAGGACCGGAAACCAGACTTATAGGAACTGGTTACGGTTTGGTTCTGGATATGGTACTGGGTAAACCAGGTCTAGAACCGAAAAATCCAAAAATATCAAAGTGGGGGGTGGAACCCGGTAAAGTGGGTTTAGAATCAGGAAAACCGAAATTTTTTTGGTAACTACATGCTACTTAGTGGGTTGAACTTTGAAAATTTTCAGCTTTGATATCTCGACTTTAGGGGATTGTAAGTCATTGAATATAAACTTAAAATTGATAAAATTATAGTTTAAAATCATGTACAAACTCTAAACTACACTCTGGAAAAAAACTGTATGTCAATCCGACTTTAACGAATGAGATATGCATATTTTAACATTTTTCACAGAATATAAAATACAAAAACAAATCGATGAAAATTTGAAAATTTTCAGCTTTGATATCCCAACTTTGGGGGATTGTAATTCATTGAATATTAAACCAAAAATGACAACATTATAGTCTAAACTCACCTATAAACTCTAGACTACAAGTTAGGAAAAAATCTCATGTCAATCCAACTTCAAACAAATTAGATATGCATGTTTTTAAAATTTTCACATAATGCAAAAAAACTAAAAAACTAAAAAATTTCAGCTTTGATATCTCGATTTTGGGGGATTGTAAGTCAATAAATATAAAACTAAAAATGACAATTTTATAGTCTAAAATCATGTACGAACTCTAAACTACATGTTGAAAAAAACCACATGTCAATCCGGTTTGAAACGAATGAGATATGTATATTTTAAACTTTTCATAAAAATCGGTTTTGGCCCATAAAAGTGGTTTCGGTTCCTAACACCGGTTCCGGTTCTTAAACCTAGATTTTCGGAACCCAGATAAAATCATTCTTTAAACCTGAAACCGAAACCGGTTCTATATATATATATATCGGTTCTAACGGTTCCGGTTTCGGTCCGATTCCGGTTCCGTTCCGATTTTTCGGTTTTAAATCTCATCCCTAGTCTAGGCCGCCAAAGAGCTGTCGCAGGTCTCTACATTTTAAGGTCATCCTAATTTTTTGTAAAACGATTTTATCAAGAGAAATTAAAGGATATGTTTAGCACGTCTAAACTACTTTTTTTATCATCAGACAAATCCATTAAATCTAGCTCCTAAACTACTATTTTGTTCATAAGGTTGGTAGGAGTGATGTCACCCTTGTCACAGTCCACGTAGGCGTCACATTAGATTTATCACACTGCAGTAAAAAGTTATCATTTACATGGTATGGGTTATCGTGCTATTTTTTAATACTTTATTTATATAAAGAAATCAATATAAACAAATTATTTTAATAAAACTTAAATTTCATTAACTTGAAAGGAAATCAAATATTTGAAATTAAAAACATAACACATTTCAAATTAAACTAGCACACAACACCACTAGAAATTGAAACACACAACCCACTAGAAATTAGAAAACAAGAGCTTAAATTTGACACCATTTTCGCGACTGTCTCACAATTTGTCAAAACTCAACATGCCGGAAAGATTTGATTTTTTTTTTTTTTGAAAATATGGTATTTTTTTAAAATGAAAAATTGATTAAATGGTAAAAGAAAAAAAATTGGTAAATGCCTTTCTCTCTCATCGGCAGAAACTCACCAAGCTCCATCACCGAACCGAGATCAGCGAGGACCTGGCCCAGTGGTGCTGAGGAGTGACGACCCCGACTCCGTCGAGTCTAATGAGACTTCATTTACAAACACATTGGTACCGCTAGATCAAAGACACTTTGGTAAATTACATGATAAGCTAATTTTTTTTCGAGTTTTTTTTTTCTTAAATTGTTGTGTTTGACAAGTCAAAAAGTAGCTGAAAACTACATTCTAAGTTACTTTTTTAAAAACCTACTTTGAGTAGATTTTCAATATCTTTTTGAAAATTTCCCGAAAATACATTTAATTAATTATAAAAAAATATTTTTTTCTTAATGTCATTTTATGTCTTTCAGCTAGTTTTAACCAAACATCATTTTTTTATCAACTAGTTTTTTAACTAGTCTACCAAGCATAGTTTTTCATTAGCTTAGACTAGTTTTTCATTAGTTTTTTTTTTTAATATTCTGAATATACATTTAATTAATTATAGGAATCTTATTATCCAAAATGTCTTTTTATATCATTTTTATATATTTCAACTAGTTTATCAACTAATTTTTATCAAATGTCATTTTTTATCAACTAGCTTATAAACCCGCAACTAGCTTTTCAGCTAGTATGTCAAGCATAATCAATATTTTTCGATTTTTTTCTCCTTATATTCTTATATATGTTGTGAAATTATGACAAATATCACAATTTAATAAGTTAATAGTATTTTAAGATATTTGTTATTATTTCATATGGATAAAAAGAAAAGTAAAAAATAAATAATTTCTCATCAGTCAATTTATATAGGATATTTTTAAATCTTAAGTACGTTTGCACTGTGTGGGATTTATAGAAATTTTGTGTATGTACATTAGATAATACATAATTTACAGTAAACTTATCTATAATTATATGTAAAAATACAATTATAGTTTGTAAAAGTGAATTTTTACGTGTTTGTAAAACCATACATGAAGTAAAACAAATATGTGAAAGAGTTAGAAAATTTGAAAAAATAAAATAAAATAAAAATTAGCCGATTGTCGTAGACTTGATGAGTGAGGGTTTCACAATGTGATGGATTGTTTTAAAAAGTATTTTCATACAAAATGACAAAATACTTGAAAATATGCTTAGATATTAACACGTGTTTGTTCATGTTTGTTACTTTTGGTTTTTTTGTATTAGATGTTGTAGAGTTCAGAGTTAAATGTTTAATGCATAGTAATATTATGATTCTAAGAGTTATGGTTGTATGATTTAAAAAATTAGCTTTAACATCTAGGAAATGGTTAGCAACCCACTTTGTCGTTTATTTATCATCCAATTTGATGTAAAATTATTTTATAGTTGTTTTTTCAATAAAAAGTCACAAATTTGTAAAAATAAAAAGTATCTTTATAAACATGTATACAAATAAATATATAAATAATTTTATATAAACGAATTCGTAAAATAATTAAGGTGTAAACTAAAATGCTAAAAAGTAGTAAAACAAAATTTAAAATAAGGCAGATTTTGTGTTGGTGGGCTGGACGTTTTTGTGTTGTGTGGGCCGGACTTTCAAAAACATTCTACAAATTAAACATCTTATACATTAAAATATGTAATTTTAGTCAACTTACAAGTTAAAATATGTAACTAAAATATGTAATTTTAGTTGAATAATATGGGAACGATAGATCTAAGTTATGTTTTATTAATTAACTAGGCGAGTCTCATGTTGCGTAAGAATGAATTAAATAATTAAAATATTTATATGTTATTAAAAATAACTTATAAATTTTTAGTTCATGTAGGCGTGTTCGGCAAAACTAGCTGGTAGCGGATAACTTTATAGCGTTTTGTTAAACGCTACATGAAGTAACTTTTGAATTTGGAGCGTTTTGTTTAAACTAAAGTTTTCTGTTTAAAACGGATCGTTTTGTCAAACGCTAGAAGCTATAAGCTCCCAAACGCTCCGTGTCGAACACCCGTCATATAATTTGAGAAATAAAGACTTTTTTCCATCATAGACATCACTTGTGCTTTGACCTATATTAAAATTTTAATTCAAAATGAAGACTACCATTCAAGTAAAAATGATTTATCTTCTTATTCTAATAAATGAATCGGTTTTTATCGCATTACATTTTATTATTGCATTCATATAAAAATTAATTTACTAATGTACCCTCTAGTCATTTAAAGTTAAAAGTAAATTTGCCATAGAAAATTGAAAAAATCGGATTTTTCATCCCCAACTCTTTCTCCATTAATTTCACCTTATCATATACCGATTCAAAATTTAAACACCAAAATCCCCTTAGGGGTTAATCCTAAGAGACGATACCTATAACGAAACCCACCATCTTCTTCTTCTTCTCTATACTATTACGCCAGCAGTCGCTCAACGTCGCTAACTTCTGACCCTACTTTTTTATCTACTACAATCCAAATATTCTAAGAGGTATCTCATCCAAAGCATATCTCCTAGCATTTCTACATTGAGTCATACTAACAATCAAGTTAAACTGTGTACTTACCTTGGCTTTCATTTTCCTTATGCTCATTTTGGGGTTCTGCAAAAGCTGATTCTTAAAATGCTTTCCAATCCATTTATATGTTACAATGGAACCAAGTTTGAAGACTCTTGAACAATTATGGTCGTCAATTAAGGACTTAATCTGGAAAGACCTTTCACTACTCATCTAGGAAGCCCAAAGTCTAAAAGGACAAAAGGAGTTCTTGTTATCTTTACAACATCTTACTAAAACCTTTGACTATCATTTTTCTCATAATAAAGGTTGTAGCCATTCTTCACTGCATAGTTAGTCACACAATTTTTCAATTCTAGAGGGTTAGAGAATCTCATACCTAGAATTGGCACCATTTGTCCCATTTCTGGTTCTCATTATGGACAAGGTACACTGGTTTGTCATCCCCATTGTTGGTTTCAACCTCATCATTTGTATCCTTACAAATACCTGACACCCGGTGCAAGAATTCATCACCAATAGTCTTGTCAAGAGAAGGAATGTAATAATTTGTTTCATGCTCATATGGAATATCATCAGAAAGTTGTGAATCGTTATCATCATCCGGGTCTTGCTCAGAATAATGCCCTTCATCATCTTCTACTACTTTCATATCAGCCCAATCAAGTACAAGTTCCTTTTCGTGGTCTATATACACATTCATTCTTAGACCATTTTCATCACTATAACCCGTTTCAATAAGCTCAAAGCAGTCAGCATCATTCCCAATTCTCCTAATACCCTATGCCAATGGTTCATTTCTAGTGCAGTAATATACATTATCACAACTGCCTTCAATCAACTTTTCAACAAACAAAATAAACTCTTTGAGATCCATTGCACCAAAATCGACATCATGGATTGAAACAACAACAACGTTTAAGTACACTAATGGTATTGGTGCGAAGAAACCACTATAATGTACATAAACTGTCAAATACTTACGTCGTTGAGGCCATCTTTTTCACTATAACACTCACATTCACCAGTTCTCTTCAATTTCGTAACTGCAATCTTCGATTGAACTGTTGTCTTCAATTTCCATATGAACCCTAAGTGTAAGGAGAAAGGGGGTGAAAGAGAAACGTGTATGAAATGTGTTCTAAGTCCACATAATACATGTCATTCGTAATTAAACATTTTAAAATAAGGAAACCGGCAAAACATGTGATAACTGGTCGCGGGGGTTTTGGAGAGCAGGAATAATAAGTTCAATGGTACAATAAGGACAAAAAAAAATAAATAAGGGACTAAATGAGAACAAGTTCAACATGCATTTTGTTACCCTCACAAGTCATTTTCCCTAAATATAAATATAGATAAATAGTATATAGCTATAAATATAGATATAAATAAATAGATAAATATCTAACTCTTCTAATAAATGAAACCTAAAAATGACAAGTGCCGGTTTTTTAGAATGTCTCTTTGACACGTGACATTTTTCTATGATTTTTATTATTTTCTTTTTTTTTTTGTAACAAATCAAATTCAATTCAAATTTTAAAAATACAAAATCATATCCTAATAACATTATTATGTTTATTTTGCTTAACAAATTAATTCATAATTACTTACAATCGACAATATCTTAGTTTTTTTTACATTTATTATTTTTTTATCTATATAGAAATTTTAAATATATCGACCGTGGTTTCCACGGGTTATAACCTAGTTGATAAATAAATTTAAAAAAAAAAATATGATATACATTTTAATTAAAAAAAATAAATAGAATAGATTAAATGTGTTCGCTAGGGAAATTGACTACATTGATAACGAGAAAAAGATTTTTCCAGTGATTAAAATATCAGATTTCGAATGCATCAACACTTGTACGTCAAATGCATCTACGCATCAGTACTTGTACAAAAGATAGATAATACAACTAAGCCCAAAAAAACCAGTTGAAGTAACGTGACGCATCAAAACGAATCTTTATTTGATTTCATCGGAATAAACTTTTTTTCGTACTGTGTACAATATAACTACCAACGACTGTCTTCATCCTCTTCAGCTAGAATAGATTACCACAAAAATTAGGTCAAACGACAACTATGGCTTCACTTTCGATCGCCATGGTTCTTCAATTACTTTTGTTCGTCGCAGCGCTCTACGCCGTCGAAGTCCACGGATATAGTGGTGGTAACGGAGGAGCAGTAGAATTAGTATCGACTGTAGCTGAACAAAGGGAGTTTGATTACTACGCGTTGGCTGTCCAATGGCCTCCAACTTACTGTTCGAAATCCACTAAATGCTGTACTCAAAGCGCTTGTTGCCGAGGGTAATTAATCAACTATTCTTTCATCTACTGTCAGTCGATTGAAAAAGAAAAATTATAAAGAAAGAACAACGGCTTGAATTTCAAAAGAATGGTTATTTTTTATGTTTGGTACTGTTGAGAATTCGAAATTTTTGGTTCTTTTATAATGTATGAATATGATCTTATTTATACGGGTTCAGTTGTTGTAGGAACCGGAAAACTTTTTCTGATCAAGATACATTTTTCCCTTTTCTATTGATTTTCACAAAAATTGCCTTCTGAATTTGAGAACCATGGAGATAAAAAACTTACTCCATACTACTTTCATATGTTTTTGCAGATCAAATTCTCCATCAGTATTCACAATCCGTAAGTTCTCTCTACTAAAGTCAGAATATAGCTTCACCCTCTTTCTTAATTGTTGTTGTTGGGTTGTAAGAGTCAAGCACATACATGTTGATTACTTGGGTTATGGCAGGATGTAGTAAAAGTTCTCTCCCATATCTCTTGAAAGTTGAAACCCCCCTCTTTTGTGCTAGGCTCTATATTTTTGTATATACAATGAACAATGAGTAACCCTGTACCTGATTAATGTCTTATCCTGCAGATGGACTATGGCCAGATTACAATGATGGATCATGGCCATCATGCTGCTCAGGTCCTGCTTTTAATGAAACAGAGGTATTCTAACTATTTACTTAAAGTATTAAAATAATACGATAACTTCATCTCACTATGTATTGTTTGTTGTTCCTATCTGTAGATTTCGACATTGCGTGGTGTTTTGGAGAGATATTGGCCAACACTAAGTTGCAGTAAATCATCAACATGCCATAACAAAAAAGGACTGTTTTGGGCTCATGAGGTGGAATTTAACCATCATCTTGTTCATTTTTTATCAATTGATCATATTACAAAAACTAGAAACTAACTAAAATTCCCATGGTTTCCTTTCATGCTCATTCAATGGGGTCTTGTTGATTTCAGTGGGGTAAGTATCTTTCTTCCCTGCTGTTGCAGTACTTTCAAAAATATACACTCAAAGACAAAAAATTAATTTGCTAACTAGAAATCAATTAATCCAAGCTTAATCTATAAATTTAGTTTCATCCATATGTCAGCCTTTTGTAGCATGATTGTCATCTATTTGACTTTTCTAAAGTTGAGAAATGACATTATTTTACTCTTTTTCTTTTTCCTAATGGTTAACTGGATGAACTTTATTTGCAGAGAAACATGGTACCTGTTCCTCTCCTGTTACAGGCGCCGAATATAACTATTTCTTGACAACCATCAATTTGTATTTTACATACAATGTCACAGTAAGTTTTTAAGGGAAATTACTGCATTGAAATTGGTAGATGTTAATATAATAAAACAAGTTTTGTTTTTTTTGTGGTTTTCAGGAAGTTCTTTTTGAAGCTGGATATGTACCTTCAAATTCAGAGAAGTATCCTTCAGGTGGCATCATTTCTGCCATTGAAAATGCTTTCCATACAACCCCACAATTGATCTGCACAAAAGGTGCTTTGGAGGAAGTCCGTTTATGTTTAACCAAGGATTTCAAGGTTTGTCGCTTTTTTCCATTTGATGCATTTTTTTATATAAAAGTTAACTTTCATCAATTTGCTTATTATAGCATCATACTTTCGTTTCTTCTTATTACAACAATATTCTAATTAGAACAAACAAATTTGAAAAGTATAATGCTAGAATTGGATAGATTTCTCAAAGTATATTGTTGTCTTAATAAATAACTAAATAATGTAATTACTAATTATGATGTTGTAACTTGTAATAGAAAGAACTAAAAAAGTAGATTGTTGATTTTGATTTACTTGAATTCTTGCAGTTCCGAGACTGTGTAACAGGAAGTGATTGTCCTGAATATGTCAGCCTACCGGAATTCGCTTTCTCAGGTCTGCCTTTTGGTTATTTTGGTAATTTTACCTCCATTTTTATTATTTTCACATTTTTTTTTACTTAATCCTGCCTTTTGGTTTTCAACTTGTAGATGATCTAAATGGCACCAAGATTGCAGATCAATCATTTACTGGCCATGAATCCTTCTGAATTATTTGCCTGATGATGAATGATGTTTATTTTACAGTCATAGAATACCATTTTTATTTATGAATAAGTCAAGGCAAACATGATACCATTTCAATTGAATCTTTAAAACATTATGACTTCGACATTTTAGGGTATTTATTTTTATTATAGTACCCCCATTAATGTACTGAACAGAAAATTTGATCGAAAACGAAGATACATTGATTCAAATAATTACCATATTATTGACGGGTTGATATTGATTGATAGATTCTGTTCACAGTTTTTTAAAATAGACATAAAAGATTTAATGAAAATCATAATATTCCGTATAGTTTTTATTTTACTATTTTATCGGGTTAGAATTTTGATGTGTCATTTTGGTTATTGGCATGACCCCATATCAGTATCACATGATCCCATGTGAGAACCTTAAAATGAAATAGCGTTTGGAAAGTGGTCTAGAGGGTGTTTGGGATTTGCTTATTTGAAGTGCTTATTGATTTGTTGCGTTTTGACATCTGTAATGAAGAGTTTGAAGTGTTTGGAAGGAAGATTTCATAAGCACTTATTGTCTTAAAGAATAAGTTTTTGATAAGTTACTTTCTTCTTACTTATTGACTTATTTAAGGAGTTTTGGATACTTTATTTCCTCATTACACATATAAGCATCATTTGCATGGTGGCTGACATGTGACAAAATCTCAGGGGTAGCACACATGATTTTAGGGGTAATACGCTGAAAAATTTACATTACGTCGGAAAATTTCTCAAAAATTTACACTATGATGCAAAATTTAAGGTGTTGCACCGGGAACCCCCCTATGTCTGCCCCTTGCCGGTCACTAAAAAATAACTTATCAGTTTATTACATTTTGGCACCGCATAACTAAACCAAACACTTTTTTAAAACTACAAGTATAAATTGTTTTAAATAAACAACTTGACCTTGTCTTTGCATGCCATGTTATTTACCACTCAACTAACGATAATAGTATTAGGAACTTAATGCTAAGCTAATTTCTTCAGGTAAGACCATCTTGAGTACCCTCAACAGAGGGCTCCGATGTCTACATGACACCCAACCACAAATGTAAATACCACCCCGGGTGTTTAGTGGTTGCAAGTTTTCGTGGTCGTTTGTGATGGGGAACACGAACCTCCACAACTAATTATTTTCTTTCCCTCTACATCTCTCTCTACATTTTAAGTAATATATATATATATATATATATATATATATATATATATATATATATATATATATATATATATATAGAGAGAGAGAGAGAGAGAGAGAGAGAGAGAGAGATAATAAAAAATAAGAGGGATGTAATGGTGGGTATTGTGTGGTGATAAAGTGACATCCACCGTATTAGTGATTAGTGGCGTGTGCTCCAGATAACCTAACTACTTCGTGTTTCCTAGTTTGTAATGATAGGTAATTGCACTTTTCTTTTAGAAACGTTGTAAGTTTTCATTGGTTAATTCAAATATTGATTAATTCAAAAAGAATGTTGTCTGAGTTTAGTCTCTCTTTTATCTATAATAAACAAAAAGTAAATTATATTTTTGGTTTTTGAGTACAAATCATTTTCGCAATTTTAGTATGAAATTGTTTTTCTTATAATTATGTCTTTATGAAAATTTTATAAAGTTTTTAGTTTTTGTTCTATATAAAATGACTATTTTTTTCTCCATCTCTAGAGGCTGTTTTGGAAAAGTTTATAAAAATAGCTTTTTAGTTTTATTATCGGTTTTACATCGATATAAATAAAAAATAGTGTATTTTATTATTATTATTTAAAAAAAAAAAAAAAAAAAAAAAAACTGCACCTTCAATAAGTCGGTTTTTTTATAAAATCACTTGCTTATCAGAAAGTCCTAATTTCACCGTTATTAGAAGAATCGACAAATATGCCCCCTTAACCTAAACCATATACATCGACACAAAAACATACGGCTCCATTGCTGTTTTCTCCATCGTTGTTCCTCAAGCCCTCCCCTGTGAAGCCACCGCCGGTAGCCATCTCCTCCCCACCGGCCGGAGATCGTCACAGTCCACAGCAACACCGGAGACCTTCGACCCCACAGCTAAGGTTCGTGTTTGTTCCTGCTTCTGCATTCGTATTTCTTTTTCCTGCTGTCTGCTTTCATTCGTCTTTTTTTTCCGTTGCTGTTGTCGATCTTCCTTCTTTTCCCTTTGTTTTCTGGTCTATGTTAGAATTGGAACTCAAAATTTGTGGGGTTTTTTTTTTGTGCTGATGTCGATTTTTTTTTGGGTGCTGCTGTCGATTTTTTGTGTGCTGCCATCTAGTATACTGATTTGAATCGGAACTCAAAAAAGCGTGGATTTTTTGGTAGCTGTTTTGCTGGTATCTGATCTGAGTTTTGTGTTGCTGTCGATTTTTTTGATTTGAAGGTGTAGTTTACCTGACATGAGAAGTGATTTTGAATGAAATATCTTTAAATTTGTAGTTTACATTTGAATGTGAAATGAGAAGTGATTACAAAGGGCAATTGTGTATGTATTTGTGCTTCAGTTATCAAAAACCTAGATGTTAATTCTTTTATTGTAATAGTAGCACCAATGGTTATGTTCAAATCTGTTGTCTTGAAATCTGGCATATAATCATTTCTTATAAGTTATAAGAAATGATTCTCTGCGGGGATATATCCAGCTGACTTGCTCAAATATTGTGTAATCCTAATCTCTGAAAGAGAAAGTGTGTTCTTATCTTTATGAAAAATTAAAGGACTCTGTTATAAGAGGAAGAGTTCTTTCCGATTAAAAGTAATTTCATCTAAAAGATTAAAACAACCGATATACTTTCATGATTTGAGTTCAGGGAAGATGGTCTAGTTAGGGTTTAAGTTTTTATCCAGGAACTTGATGTAATTGTGATTCGGTATATTCAAATGACTGGCCAATTTTATTCTTAAATCAGTTTGAGAGGAGAAAACAGAAGGAGAAAGAGAAAGAGATCAAAACAGTTATGGGTTACGCTCAATTAGTAATTGGTCCTGCTGGAAGTGGAAAGGTAAAACACATAATTTTATTTAATCATAATATTTATAGATATTTGTCCAACAACTAATTATCTATTGCCACTTTCAGTCTACTTATTGCTCAAGTTTGTTCCAACACTGTGAAACTACTGGAAGAACGATTCATATTGTGAACCTAGATCCTGCTGCAGAAAACTTTGATTATCCTGTGGCCATTGGTAAGTTGCTTGTTTTCTTGAAACTTGTCACAATAACATATACTCTTTAATAATATGAGTGATTGCAGATATTCGGGAACTTATATCTTTGGATGATGTAATGGAGGAATATGGACTTGGTCCAAATGGTGCTCTTATGTTCTGCATGGAGTATCCTTCCCTTGTCTTTTGTTGTGTTTCTTTACTCTTAATCACTCCACTTCATAAACACACAAAATTTCTTTCATGCACTAATTCCAGACACAAGGCTATAATTGTCCTTAAATCTCACTCACTAGACATCTTGAAGAAAATTTGGATGAGTGGTTATCTGAAGAGCTGGAGAATTACATGGAAGATGATTATCTAATATTTGATTGCCCAGGTATGCCTGTCAATAACATGTTTGCTTTAAGCATGTTATATCTATAAAAGTAAAGTAATTTTCTTGAAAATGCTTTACTTGATAGGTCAAATAGAACTCTTTTCTCATGTTCCTGCTCTTAAGAACTTTGTGGAGCATTTGCAGCGTAAGAATTTCAATGTCTGTGCTGTTTACTTGCTCGACTCACAGGTTTGTAATTGCTTCTTTCATCCATTCAATCTATGTCTGTGCAAAAAGACATGAATGCCCTCACTTGCTTTATTGGGTTTGCTGATTCTTTTTTTTTTTTCAACTTATATCAGTTCATCACGGATGTTACCAAGTTTATTAGTGGTTGTATGTCGTCACTCTCTGCAATGATTCAGCTTGAACTGCCTCATGTTAACATCCTCTCCAAAATGGACCTTGTTACTAGAAAAAGAGACATTGAAGAGTTAGTTAGCTTCTATTATGTATACATGTCCATTTTACATATTAAGTGATTATGAATTTATGATTCTGTCTACTTCCAATAGTTATCTGACTCCAGAGCCTACGACTCTGCTATCTGAACTGAATCAGCGAATGGGCCCTCAATTCCAGAAGCTCAACAAGGCCTTAATTGATTTGGTTAGTTCTAAAACCAGATACATGATCGATTAAAAACATTCATCTAAAACTGATCATTGTTATTAATGATATTAAACTTTTATATTAGGTTGATGAGTATAGCATGGTGAGCTTTGTGCCTCTTGATTTAAGGAAGGAAAGCAGGTAAAGTGTCGTGACTGTATATGTATTCGGTTTTGGTTGTATTTTTATTATTGGAAATGGTAATTTGTATTTTTGTTTACAGCATACAGTATGTTCTTTCACAAATAGACAACTGCATTCAATATGGAGAAGATGCTGATGTGAAGATTAAGGATTTTGATGAAGATGAAGATCAAGACTAAAAGTCTTTATATGATGGTGTCTCATTTTCTGAAATTTGTCATAACTTTTTTGTGTTGTTTTGGCAATCATTGAAAATACATATATTTTTAATTAGTATAAGGATGTCCCATAAGTGTTTATTATGATCCAGTTGTTTCTCAATTAATTTGTACTGAGCCATATTCTAGTTTAGTAGCTGACATAAGTACATGTTACAAGTTTTATCCAGAAAACAATAGGCAAAATACGTTCGAAAAGTTACAATGTTCCAAGTAGAGGTCAAAAATACATATAAAAAGGGCCACAAACTACCCTTTGCCATAGACTTTTTTATAAGTAAATCCTAAAAATTGTTATGTTAGAATTTACCTATTTATTTATTTATTATTATTTTGCTAAACATCAATTACGGAAGTTTTCAATTTTTATGAGAAATTTTACCGTACAAATATAGTGTTATTAGAGTTATGCTAAAAATAAACTAGTTATATTCTAATCAAAAAAGTTTTGATCAAGCTCAGCAAAAGAATTTTAACATGTAATTTTCAGACATGAGGAATTTACTTTTGCGCAGAAAACAATAACTTGGTAAGTCGTTTGCAATTTAATTTAACATAGAAAAAGACAATAGCTTTCATACTCTGCCTACTTGAGAGCTAGGCATACCCTCTAAATCCAACAATGAGAAAGAAAATACTTTAAAAAAAACACCTAAGACATATTCATAATGTAAAAAAAAGAATTCCGACTTCAACAACTAAGAAAAAAAAAACACAAAATTAAACAAGTCAGAACAATCAACCAGTATCCTTTCTGTCTTTGGGAGAGATATTCAACAAAAAGCAACAAAATTGAAAGCTGATAAAATCTTGTCTTTTTTTGAAGAATCCAACAAGCAAAATTTGATAAAAATCTTCACTCGTCATCTTCATCATCATCATCCTCATCATCAGCCCCAGCAGCAGCATTCAAAGCATTCAACCTCTCAATAAGCTTTTGCCTCCTCTCATCATATGTCAACTTCTTGAGATTGTATCTGAAACAACCAATCAAATATTTTCAACTGTCTAAACCCTAAATCTTTAATACAAAAAAAAAAAAAAAAAAAAAAAACTGTGTTACCTCTTGTGCTCCTTGGCAGGCTGCTTATCAGATTTCTTAGGGGTTGGATCAGCACGAATAGCTGCATGCACCTTCTTGTAGACCTCTTCAATGCTGTCTGCTTCAACTCCAGCCTTTATGTATTCAGAAAAGTGTGTCTGATATTTCTCTGGTTCATCTTCTGTCAAAGTCTGCATTCATTCATTCAAACAAACAAACAAAATGATTCACCTCATTTCATATCACAATAAATAAAGACATACATACCCTCATGTAATCAGCAACATGTCCCCCATAAATGTACTTGCGGTGAACATCAGCATCAAGTTGCTTCCCATCCTTGTTGAATCCAGCAAACCTCTTTTCACTGTGAGGGATGTCAATTCCACCATCCAGTGCTCCCTGAAAGCATTCTACTTTCAGTTTTGCTAAAAAAAACAAAATCAATGGAAGTAGGTTGCTATTTATTTACCTTGAGGGCACCAAAAACACGATTGCCAGTAGTGGTTCTGATAAGACCAACATCTAAAAGAGCACGGAAAGGCCTTCTGTTTTCTGCAGGTTCCACAGAGTAATCTTCACCAGTTGCCTATAAAAATGCAATCACTCAATTAAAAAAATGCATCCATGTAAAAAAGCTCAATGATTAATTAATCACTGGTGCCACATATGACATACCTCAACATTTCCCTCATACTCCTCATCCATCTCAAGTGCTTTCAAAACTCGACGAGCCAACAGAAGCCCAGTACAATAAGCTAAAGTCAAAACAAAAAAAAATGAAAAAGGTGAGTCTTTCTACATCACATTAAACATGTTTTTAAAGGAAACACAAGAATACCTGCAGCATAGTTTGTAAGTCCAACTTTGAGGCCATAACTGGGGAGTTCATGAGCATAAGCAGATGCAAGAACCATGTCCCCAGCAATGCTAGCGGATACAATTTGTGCAACTATATCTTTGTTGGTCTAATAGCATACTGTTAAGAAAACTCTTACAAGATACAAACACCCATCTCAAAAAGGGTCAGAAGATAAATCATCAAAAAAGGGAAATGAAAGGATACAAATCGCACAACATAACGATATTTGGGCGTGTTGTACTTGTTTTTGTCCTGATTAATCAAACGTATCCTTGCACGATAGTCAGTTTTGCCCTCTGCAACAATAAATGGGAGTAAAAAAAACAGTGCAGCAATGAAATATGAGATATGACAAACAATAACAGAGATATCCATACCTCTCCTTCGCTTGAATTTGACTTGAAACCTCTTGAAGTAAGATCTTGACTTCTGTGCGACGAAAACCTTCGCAAATAAAACCACAAGCAATGAAATTGTTATGAAAATTACAAACAGCAAATTTTAGAGTTCAAACGAAGATATACACACAACATATAAACATAACATAATTTGTTTACACAATTGATCTATAAACAGATCAACAATGAAATAGCATGAGAAAACACATTTTTCATACGTAAAATATTGAAAATATAAACAACAACTTAGGCATCAAAACAACACAGTCTATGAAAGAGCTGAGTGTTTAAATGAGTTCAGGTAAGTTAACAAAAGACCCTAACAACAACAAAACATCAAAACAACGATTTGATTGTCGACATGCGTGATTTGAATCATAAATGGGAACTGATAGGCTTTACCATGGCCGATTTTTGGTGTGTCTGCGGGTTGCGCAGGGAGGGAGGGAGAGAGAGAATTACAGGCTCAGTGGAGGAGAATTAAGGCGTCCAGATATCAAAAACCCTAAAGACGAAAGAGAACTGAAATCGACGGCTGGGATTGCTTTTTGTATCGCATTCCATCTTAGGGCTTTTGTTAATATGAAGAGAGTGTCAATGTATACCTTGGATTGTTGTTGAGTGTCATATACAGTCCTTGAACTTTGATCTTTTATAGGTAGGGTTATTTGCAAATAACCCAATAGACTTGCATCATTTTATCAACTCTGTCGCCTAGTTTCGTCAAAATCAATCGATGCTTTTTTAAACCGACCGAACCTTTCTTAATTGGGTAGATCAGGTCGGATAAATTGGATTTAAAAATTCATGTATTCAGTTAACCTAATATTTAATTGGTTCGGATATCAGGTATGTGTAAAAAAAAAAAGACAAAATTGCAAGAATGGTCTGTATGGTATGTCGAAAATTGTAATTTTGGGCCAAACAAGTTTGGACTAGCACCAATGGTCCAAAAAGTTTCATTTTGTTGCGAGTTTGATCCATTTTTGTTTATTTTTTATAAAATGATGATTTTGCCCTTTGTAATTTTTTTCAATTTTTTTATTTCATAAATAAAAAATGCTCTCTCTCTCTCTCTAAAAACACTTGATCTGGTCATTTCTCACCCTCTCTTCCTCTGAAGAAGAAAAGAGGTTGTCGACCGCCACCTTCGCAGCCCCTCCCCGCCTCCCTTTGGTCGTGTAGCACCACCAAACACCCATCCTTTCACCCACTAAACCGTCGTTCTCAACTCCGGCAAATTGACCCTCCCAGCTCCGACAAATCAACCTAGCCGCCAAGAAATGAAAATCCTAGCCGCCAAGAAACCCTAACTTCAGAGTTTTATGGATTTAGGAATGGTTTTCAAAGACAAAGATCGAAAAGGCATCAAAACCCCCCAAGGGTTTTCAACGTCGTTGTGTTCGTCGTAACATATGTGGATCAACGTCGTCCTGTTGGATCTGCAACACCGTCGGATTTGTGGTTGTTTGAAGGTTAAGATCCGTCGAACACCCTATCTTACTAAATCTCACCCTCCAGCATAGGAAGCCACCGCCGAAAACTACGTTGGCGCTGCCTTGCTGTCGTCTTCACCAATTTAGGGTTTGCAGACCTTTGGAAGTGTCTTGAGTCGTAAAAATGGGTTCCAAATGGTTATTTTTTGCTCCATGCATCATTTGGAATGACTTAATGGATTAAGACATTGAGTTAAGCACTTATTTTGTAACCCCCGGTTCCCGATACGTATTTTATTATAAGTTTTTGCATTTTTACACAAGGGCTCGACGAGTTGGAGGCCCAACTCGTCGAGTAGATGCGAATGTTGGACGCGGGTGGAAGAGTCTACTCACCGAGTCGGAAGCCCCGACTCGATGAGTAGACCTGTCTGGATGAAACCCTAAAATTGAGGGTTTGCACTTTATTTAAACAACTTATATGGTCTCCACTCCAGCCTCCATCACCCTCATACTCTCTTCACGAAACCCTAATCAAATATTGAGTGTTCTTGAGCTTTTTGTACCATTTGTGTGTATTTGAAGCTTGAGATGAAGAAGGGAGCTTGGGAGATCAAGAGAAAGCAAGTAGATCCAGAGGTTTTGGCACATTCCCAACTCATTTGAGGTATAAAGCTGATACCTTGACTATTCATTTCTTAGATCTCCATTTAGGGCTATTTTCTACCTTTTCTAAGTCTTAGTGAAGCCATATTCGGGATTGTGAGTATCAATGGGGTTGTACTTCAGATCTTGAACCATTAAGGGTTCCCATGGCATAAAAGTGCCAACTTTATGGCCGTGTGAGTCCCATGCACCATGTAGACTTCATTTTGGGTCCTTATGAGCTAGTTAACCCATGCATGCACGTAAAGTTTGTAACTTTATGTGCTATATCGATCCTAAGAGGTCATATTTATGTTCTGGATGCATTAAGCCTGACTGAAATTGACATGGTAGACTTGGAAGTTGGGGGACTCGGCAAGTCGCTCATAGGACTCGGCGAGTCAGGTCATGGTTCCCCAAGCTTTTATGTTTCTGATCGATCTGGTTGAGTCTAGAAGAGGACTCAACAAGATGGACATGAATATGGTATTGAAGATCAAAGAACTCGACGAGTTCAAGGCAATGTCCCAACTTATATGAAGAATAACTCAACGAGTTCAAGGAAGAACTCGGCGAGTCAAGGACTAAACACTTCAACTTGTATGAAGAAGGACTCGACGAGTTCATGGACGAGCTCGGCGAGTCAAGAGCAAAAAGGTCCTGATTTTGTATGAAGGAGAACTCGTTGAGTTCTTGAAAGACTCGACGAGTAGGATCGAAGTTCCAGTATTTTATGGAATATGGAACTCGACGAGTTGGTGGAGCAACTCGGCGAGTTGAGTCAACCATATGTTGACTTTGACCAAAAGTTGACTTTGGCCAGGGTGTTGACCTTGACTTTGACTTTGACTTTGACCTGTGTTGACCCTTGAAAGGGTTAAGAGTATGAAATGGTAATTAAGTGTGACAACCCGAAATTTCTATCTTGTACAGTCATTCAATTCAATCAAAGTCAGACTCGTTTTTGCCATATTTTAGCATTGTTTAGAGTCTGTTTGAGTGTTCTAAGTCTTGTACATTCAAGGATTGGGTGTTAGGAAGTATCTTCTAGAGTTCAGTGTGTTGCATTCAAGCCGGAAAACTCCAAGTCTTGGAGTTTACGGCCGTAAACTAGAGATTACGGCCGTAATCTCTTGGCTGGCCGTAAACTCCTCCCTTATGTAGGATATTCCTTCATTATTCTCCATTTCTTACACTTTCAACTAAAGAACTTTCATTTCTCTCTCAAGTATCATCAAGATCACTTCGAGTTCCCGACAAAGGTGATTCTTCTGTTTATTAGTTAATACATTTCTTAATCTAGTAAAATCCTTTGATTTCATCCGTGAAATCACCTCTTTTGGGTTAGATCTTCAAGAACACCAAGAACACACTAGCTCTTTGGACCGTGAAAACCCCTTCAAGCTTCAAAACGTAAGTATCCTTTCCATATACTAGTTTCCCATTAAAAGCTCTTGAATCACACCCTTGAAATCAACCACTTTAGCTTGTTAATCAAGAGTTTACGGCCATAGCATCTCCTTTGGCCGTAAACCCTTCTCAAGAACACCAATGGTCGTGAACATCTAGGGCCGTAAACCCTAGCTTCTTCTTGTGTTGGTCGTAAACTCCCATGGCCGTGAACACCATGGCCGTAAACACACTTATGTGGCTGTAAACCCCTTTAGTGCAATCATATGTGATTGTAACACTTCAATTCAAGTGTTTCCTAGTCCCTAAAGTGGCTCTCTGTCATGATTAGTTGTTATATACACTAATTATATCCATATATGTGTCATTATATGCTTAATAGGATCCGTTTGTGCTCAAGACTTCACTTGACACTTAGCATCCTTTATTGATCTTACATTCGTATATCTCACTACAGTTGAGTTCATACCCCTTAACTTATCTTTTAAATGATTTTAAATGCTTTTATGGGGGGGAATACAAGTAGAAACATTATAGTTATTATATCAATCACATGTGATTAATAACTATCAAACAAGTGGATTTCTTATTCTTCAAAACTGTGTTATCAAACAAACTGTTTCAAATCGTTTTATAAACTCTTTTATATGTTAAACTCTTTATCATGTTCCAAAACTCTTTTTAAACTTATATATTGTGAAAATCTTGTCTATATAGATATAGTTATATAAATAATGTTGAAAGGGCTTAGGACTGATAACTCGCCTTATTTTTTGTTCCTTGTTTGGTTGTGGACTTAGGGTACCGGTTGTTTGTCCAAGTGTCGTTTGAATCTTAGTTATATATTATGTATATGTGTATAGATATAAAAGTTCTTACATCAGTTCAACACCTTTAGATAGCAAAGGTGTATAAACATGCTCAGTCATTCAAACAACATTACTAGTAAACTATAATAGGTATACTTTAGAGGATTATTACTCACTAATTCTAGTACAATGAAACATACAAGAGTCAGTTCATACATGAGTCAGTTCAAACTTACTATAATGAGAAACAGAGAGAACATACTATAATGAGAAACAAAGAGGAACATATTATACACTATAACAGAGAGAACATACAATACACTAGAACATATTATACAAATACAAGAAAACTATAACATTAATGTGAGCCACTACTTCATGACACGACAATATACTGCTGTGTCACGTTTTGTAACCAGAGTCTCCGGGAGGGAGAGCGTGAATTTGTGTATAGATCTATACGGGATTGACCATCCTACACCTTGTTGCTAGTTACAGTGGGACCTGCAAGTCTACGGGTGACGAATGTCATACCATTTCGATGTCTCGAACGTCGTGTTATACTGGTCAATCAAGTACAGTTACAATCTTATCACATTTTACCTTAATTAAACGAACAGGTTTAAGGTAGTTAGTACATTGGTAGTCACTTAGATAAAACTACAGTACATCTTTATTTTCCCATTTTATTCACATTGTGATCTTCTCACATAAACGGCAATGAAAACTATATTTTGGTAATGATAGTCATACTTGGGAAAAACACTCACTTTTACAAAAGAACAAACTTACAAAACAGTCGAGTCTTGGTAGAAGGCTACTTTAGTAGAAAATATAGGATTTTCTAGGAAGTATTCAAACATGTACAGACAACACTTACAAACTTTTACATCAAATATTTACAAACATTTCATTCAAACTTATACAAACAATGACATTAAATACTTATGAACTCACCAGCTTTAATGTTGATTTACGCTTTCAAAATAACTTGTATTCTCAGGTCACCAGTAGACAAGTACCGATGACCAGGTTTTGAGAAGACGGAGCATGTTCAAGACTCGTCTTTTATTTTGATTCATATTTTGGTGTCTTATAAACTATACAGAACACACTTGTATTAAAATTATATTATCAATGCAATGGATGATGTTGTTGCTTGTTTTACTATTATGCATTGTTATGATATTGTACATGACGTCCTCTGGCCCTGAACATTTCTGCCGTTCTGGTTTGG